GAGAGAGAGAGAGAGAGAGAGAGAGAGAGAGAGAGAGACAGAGAGAGAGAGAGAGAGAGAGAGAGAGAGGAGAAATCTGTACAGACTGTAAAGTTGTGCGTTTTTTTATAATTGGCCCAAAAACAGGGCGTCTCCTGGCGTTGTCGAAAGAGCAGAAGGCATTTCCTCAATGCGTTCAACCAGACACTTCCCTTTTTTCCTACAGCTAAGACTGCCCACTGGTCATCCTGGGGCTCATGGGGGTCTTGCAGCGCCACCTGTGGGTCTGGCATGCGTCAGAGACATCGGCGTTGCGAGAAGACCAACTGGAACTACGTGGAGGATGCCTGCCCGGGCAGGAGCGTAGACACGGAGCCTTGTAGGGGACTCCCCAGCTGTGGCTGTGGTACGTAGTCTGTGATTGGTTCATGATTTTGTTTGGTGGTACACGTTCTGTGACTGGCTCACGTGTATGTCAAAGTCAATTACTGTGGTCCGTAGTCATATCATTGGCTCATTTATGTATTATAGACACTTACTGCGGCACTTAGTCACGTGATTGGCTCATCAAAATTTACGTATTATAGACACTTACTGTGGCACGTAGTCAGGTGATTGGCTCATAATTTGTGCTTCGTGTTTTTTTCTTTGAGTGGCTTATCAGTATCTCGTGGTACACATTCTATGGTTGACTCATTGGTATAGCATAGTCATTTACTATCGTCCGTTGTCATGTGATTGGCTCATTTATGTACCACGTTACACATTCTAAGATTTGCTCCCGTGTATAATACCATGGTACACATTCTATGATTGGCGCATAATTTGTGTATTGAGGTACACGTTCCATGATTGGCTCATGTGAGTATAGTGGTACAACTTTAATGATTGGCTCATTTAGATATCATAGCCATTTTTTGTGGTTCGTTGTCATGTGATTGGTTTACTTGTGTATTGTGGTATTCCACTCTAAAACACAGTCTATAACTTGTTCCTTTATGTATTATGGTCACTATTGTAGTACACGGGCTAATTCGAATATATTGTAACCCTTTACTATAGTCCACATTTTACCAGTAGCTCTATGACTGGCTCTTGCATGTATCGTCGCCGTTTGTAACACTTTGCACCTTACTGTATAGGTGTGTGTGTTTGTTTGAGTGAAGAGAAGCACATCGACACAGTGCTGGGAACAAGTGAAACAGACAGACAGAAACAATAGAGGGAAAGTAAAGAAGTATAACCAGCCACCCGCCCACTGTAAGGGATAAACATATGTAATCGTTTGAGGATATACAGAACATAGAATGACAATGACAGCACGAAACAGAATACGATGCGCTAAGTTTTTTGGGGGCAGATACCATCTCCATGACATTATCACTAAGCATATCACGGGAAATGTAAAACCGACCTGGTAGTTAAAAGAAAATATAAAAGTCATGAAAATTAAAAGCTGATCTGATTTATATCATATCATTTTCAATGTGTCCTGTGTAACTGCTTTTGCGACTTACTGTTGCAAATAGTCTGAGCCAAATAGCATGTTTTTAAAAAAAATACCAGGACAAAAGCAGAGAAAGCAATGCTCACGGTAAGTCTATAAGTTTAAAGTCCCTTTCAACACTCTCAGGTTATTAAGAGGCAAAACCTACGAATCTAACGTCCATCTCCGATGGGACCGAGCCAAAAGGCTTCAGAGCTTTGAAAACAATGTTGACAATGGCGTGATACCCCTACGTTACAATTCCTCTCCCCCCGGAAATCCCCCAACAAATATGTGCTTTCTTGAGTTTTGTTTAGCAGGGCGTTATATTTCCGCACAATGAAAAACTAAATATTGTGTTCTCCTCCCCCCCCTTACCCTCCACCCCAATACAGTGGACAGAGAATGGACACCGTGGTCATCCTGGTCAGCTTGCAGCGCCTCCTGCGGGTCAGGGGTTCAGGAAAGGTCAAGGTCGTGCAGTGACCGCGGCCCTGACGGCTGTGGGCGGAAGTGCCGCGGGGCATCACGGGAGGTGCAGCAGTGTACGACGGACAAAGGGTGTTGTGGTGAGAAATT